TTTTGTTGATGAGAACATTTTTATTTAGTACTAGCTGTCTCCTGCCACGCGTTGCTGTGGCCCGGTCTGGTGATCTGGAAAATAAAGTAACGAGAAAGTGTTGGTTTCTAATATATGTAATGTCTTTATGCTTGTGGGTAAACAGTATTTCTTGCTGCTTGTTTCTCAGTGTTGATGTGGAGATTGTCTGGTTTGCCTGCTCTGGAACATGCAACATATAATTGTCCTTCTTTAGGGGTCCCTTTCAAATCTATGATACTGAAGGGACTGGTAAGACCCTGGAGGGTCTTTGGACCCCGTTCCATAATGATCTGTGTGTGTGTGAATCATATCTATCTATCTATATCTATGGCCGGATGGCTCTTTGTCAGGAGGGCTTTGATTACATTTTCTTGCCCTGGTGAAGGGAGTTGGACTGGATGGCCTTAAGTATTTTGTGTTGGTCATGGGGGTTCTGTGTGGTTTTTCCCAATTCTGTCATTGTTGTGGTTCAGAATGTTCTTTGATTGTAGGTGAACTATAAATTCCAGTAACTACAACTCCCAAATGTCAAGGTCTATTTCCCACAAACTCCATCTATGTTCATATTTGGGCATATGGAATATTTGTGCCAAGTTTGGTCCAGATCCATCATTGTTTGAGTTCACAATGCTCTCTGGATGTGGGTGAATGGGAGTTCTGTGTGCCAAGTTTGGTCCAATTGGTGGAGTTCAGAATGCTCTTTCATTGTAGGTGAACTATAAATCCCAGCAACTACAATTCCCAAATTCAATCTCCCCCCCCCCCCCACACCACCAGTATTCAAATGTGTGTGTATTGGGTATTTGTGCCAAATTTGGTCCAGTGAATGAAAATGCATCCTGCATATCAGATATTTACACAACAATCCATAACAGTAGCAAAATACAGTTATGAAGTAGCAACGAAAATAATTTTATGGTTGGGGGTTACCACAACATGAGGAACTGGATTAAGGGGTCAGTCATCAGGAAGGTTGAGAAACACTGTTATAAAGCGAAAGCAGACCACATGCCTGAAGAGGCAAGGTTAAGGAATGATGGAACATAAGGCAAATTGAAAAGCTGGGCTCACAATGAAAATGAATAATATATTTTGACCAGTATGTGGAATATTATGTCCCCTTCTTCTCATTGCAACAGCAAGACAAAACTGAAGATTCCAGATTATGGGATTTTATTTATTGTGTCGTCAGCAACCAGACATTTGTATTACATTTTTAACAAAAACATACAAACAAACAGACAAAACACAGAATTTGCAAGCTTGGTAGTTGATTAAATGTCCTTTGACCAGTATCTGGCCACTTGGAGTGCCTCTGGTGTTGCCGCAAGAAGGTCCTCCATTGTGCATGTGGCAGGGCTCAGGTTGCATTGCAGCAGGTGGTCAGTGGTTTGCTCCTCTCCACACTCGCATGTCAAGGATTCCACTTTGTAGCCCCATTTCTGAAGGTTGGCTCTGCATCTCGTGGTGCCAGAGCGCAGTCTGTTCAGCGCCTTCCAAGTCGCCCAGTTTTCTGTGTGCCCAGGGGGGAGTCTCTCATTTGGTATCAGCCATTGATTGAGGTTCTGGGTTTGAGCCTACCACTTTTGGACTCTCGCTTGCTGGGGTGTTCCAGCGAGTGTCTCTGTAGATCTTAGAAAACTATTTCTTGGTTTAAGTCGTTGACGTGCTGGCTGATACCCAAACAAGGGATGGGCTGGAGATGTCACTGCCTTGTTCCTTTCACTATTAGCTGCTACTTCCCGGCAGATGTCAGGTGGTGCGATACCGACTAGACAGTGTAATTTCTCCAGTGGTGTAGGGCGCAGACACCCCGTGATAATGTGGCATGTCTCATTAAGAGCCACATCCACTGTTTTAGCGTGGTGAGATGTGTTCCACTCCGGGCATGCATACTCAGCAGCAGAGTAGTATAGCGCAAGGGCAGATGTCTTCACTGTGTCTGGTTGTGATCCCCAGGTTGTGCCAGTTAGCTTTTGTATGATATTGTTTCTAGCACCCACTTTTTCCTTGATGTTCAGGCAGTGCTTCTTGTAGGTCAGAGCACGGTCCAGAGTGACTCCCAGGTATTTGGGTGTGCTGCAGTGCTCCAGTGGGATTCCTTCCCAGGTAATCCTCAGAGCTCGGGATGCTTGTCTGTTCTTAAGGTGAAAGGCACATGTCTGTGTTTTAGATGGATTAGGGATCAACTGGTTTTCCCTGTAATAGGCAGTAAGAGCTCCTAGAGCTTTGGAGAGCTTCTGTTCAACCATCTTAAAGCTCCCTGTTTGAGCGGTGATGGCACAATCATCAGCATAGATGAAGTTCTCCGTCCCTTCTGGCAGTAGCTGGTCATTTGTGTAGATGTTGAGCATTGATGGAGCAAGCACGCTCCCCTGAGGCAGGCCGTTCTTCTGTTTCAGCCATCTGCTTCTCTGGCCCTGGAAGTCAACAAAGAAGCTCCTGTTTTGTAGGAGGTTTCCTATGAGGCAGGTGAGATGGTAGTCCTTTGTGATATTATTCATTTTTCTCAGGAGGAGGCGGTGGTTTACGGTACCATAAGCTGCTGACAGGTCTATGAAGACAGCTCCTGTGATCTGCTGCCTTTCAAAGCCATCTTCTATGTGCTGAGTCAGGTTCAGCACTTGCAATGTGCAACTTTTGCCTTTCCTGAAGCCAGCTTGCTGTGGAATCAGACAGAGGTCTATTTTTTCCATAATTCTATGCAAAATAAGTCTCTCCAGAACTTTGTAGAGGTGGGACAACAGGGAGATTGGTCTATAGCTTTTTGGATCATTACGGGATGGGAGAAGTAGTAATGTTGACAGACTTTAAACAATAATACTTTAGAAAGTGAATATAACATGCTGCTGCTGAATATAAAACACTGCAGTACTATGTATGCAGAGAAGGTAAAATGATGCTTAGGGACCAGGAATATCATCCTACTATTAGTCAAGTCAGTCAGTCAGTTGCTAGGTTGGATTCCTTTGTTGCATGTCTTTGAGTTCAAATGTAATCTTCTTTTACTCAGGAAAAAAGGTAAAATTCCTCATTCTGCAAATATGCCTCTCTTGACTTCACTTTTCTTTAAAGAAACTTTCCAAATTTAATGTTTACTATCGTTTCTGCTTACCATCTTCAGTTAAGTCAGTGGTTCCCAACCTGTGGGTCCCCAGATGTTTTGGCCTTCAACTCCCAGAAATCCTAACAGTTGGTAAACTGGCTGGGATCTATGGGAGTTATAGGCCAAAACACCCGGGGACCCACAGTTTGAGAACCACTGAATTAAGTGGAAATAGATTTTTTTTCATACTTCATTGATGCTCCCCCACAAACATATACTTCATTGGGTTATTGTAGGTTTTTTCGGGCTATATGGCCATGGTCTAGAGATATTCTCTCCTGACGTTTTGCCTGCATCTATGGCAAGCATCCTCAGAGGTAGTGAGGTCTGTTGGAACTAGGAAAAAGAGTTTATATATCTGTGGAATGACCAGGGTGAGACAAAGGACTCTTGTCTGCTGGAGCTAGGTGTGAATGTTTCAACTGACCACCTTGATTAGCATATAATAGCCTGACAGTGCCTGGAGCAAACTTTTGTTGAGAGGTGATTAGATGTCCTTGTTTGTTTCCTCTCTGTTCTTGTGCTGTTGTAATTTTAGAGTTTTTTTAATACCGGTAGCCAGATTTTATTCATTTTCATAGTTTCCTCCTTTCTGTTGAAATTGTCCACATGCTTGTGGATTTCAATGGCTTCTCTGTGTAGTCTGACATGGTAGTTGTGAGAGTGGTCCAGCATTTCTGTGTTCTCAAATAATATGCTGTGTCCAGGTTGGTTCATCAGGTGCTCTGCTATGGCTGATTTCTCTGGCTGAAGTAGTCTGCAGTGCCTTTCATGTTCCTTGATTCGTGTTTGGGCATTGCTGCGTTTGGTGGTCCCTATGTAGACTTGTCCACAGTTGCATGGTATACGGTAGACTCCTGCAGAAGTGAGAGGATCCCTCTTGTCCTTTGCTGAACGTAGCATTTGTTGGATTTTCTTGGTGGGTCTGAAGATAATTTGTATGTTGTGTTATCTCATCAGCTTCCCTATGCAGTCAGTGGTTCCCTTGATGTATGACAAGAACACTTTTCCTCTGGGTGGATCTTCATCTTTATTCTCGTGGCTTGTTCTTGGTCTTGCAGCTCTTCTGATGTCTGAGGTGGAGTATCCATTGGCCTGTAGAGCCCAGTTGAGGTGGTTCAGTTCATCTTGGAGGAGGTGGGGTTCGCAGATTCTTTTTGCACGGTCTGCCAAGGCTTTAATGGTGCTTCTTTTTTGACTTGGGTGATGATTGGAGTTTTTATGTAGATATCTATCTATCTGTGTGTGTGGGTTTTCTGTAAACGGTGTGACCCAATTGTTGATCTGGTTTGCGGATGACTAGGACATCTAGAAAAGGCAGTCTTCCTTCATTTTCTTTTTCCATGGTGAATTGGATGTTTGGGTGGATGCTGTTAAGATGATCCAGGAACCTGTTGAGTTCTTCTTCTCCATGGCTCCAAATGGTGAAAGTGTTATCCACATATCTGAACCATATAGTGGGCTTTATTGTTGCTGTTTCCAGGGCTTGTTTTTCAAAGTGTTCCATGTAGAAATGAGCAATGACCTGGCTGAGAGGGCTCCCCATAGCTACTCCTTCTTTCTGTTCATAGAACTCATTGTCCCACTGATAGTAGCTGGTGGTGAAGCAATGGTGAAACAAAGCTGTGACATCTTCTGGGAACATCTGATTGATTAGTGCAATGGTGTCTGCTACTGGGACCATGGTAAATAGAGATACCACATCGAAGCTGATCAGTTTGTCATTGGTATTAGCTTGAGATTGCTGATTTTTTCTATAAAGTGGTATGAATCTTTGATGTAGTGTGTAGTGAACCCAATATTGCTTTGTAACTGTGCTTCATATACTTCATTCAATTCTACTAAAGAGCTCGTTTCTTCTTCTCACTTTCAGAACTTGGGAAGGTTGATCCAGAGATCCGTAAATATAATACACCAGGATTTTCTGGCTGTCTGTCCCGAGTGCAATTCAACCAGATCGCTCCGCTCAAGTCAGCCTTAAGAAAAACAAACATTTCCTCTCATATCCACACAGAAGGAGAACTTGTGGAATCCAACTGCGGAGCAAATCCACAAACCATTCAACCAATGTCTTCAGCAACAGATCCTTGGCATTCAAATTCTGGTAATGTTGACTGTAATTTTAGGCAATAGAATTAATTACTCTTATGAATTTTCAAATATAAATATATTTTCTGGAAAATAATGATAATTATGAACATTATGGTTAAAATAATAGTAAAGAACTTCTGGTGGCTTATATATGCTTTATGTTTATCATTTTCATTCCCCTATAATTTTATTACAGTGAGTTTTTCCATCAGGTTCTAATGTTGGATTAGAATCTGATGGAAAAACAGTTTTATCTGCTAATCTTGTGAATATTTGTCCTTGATTATTATTATTATTATTATTATTATTATTATTATTATCTCCAAACGTATTCTCCCCTATGAACCATCAAGATTATTAAGATCGTCTGGAGAGGCCCTGCTCTCGGTCCCACCAGCCTCGCAAGCGCACCTGGTGGGGACGAGAGACAGGGCCTTCTCGGTGGTGGCCCCTCGACTCTGGAACTCTCTCCCACTGGAGATCAGAACCGCCCCTTCTATCCTGACATTCAGGAAACAGGTGAAGACGTGGTTATGGAGACAGGCATTCGATGAGTGAGCCAACACCCTGAGATATGGATGGAAGATGATGTACAATTGATTTTAGTATGACGACTGACCATTGTAGTTATTGAATATATTTGCTGTTTTAATGTGTTATTGTAATATGAATTATGTTGTTTTACTGACTGTATGTGATTTTATGGTTGGAAACCGGTCTGAGTCCCTCAAAAGAGGTGAGAAGGTCGGTATACAAAACTTTTAAATAAATAAATATAATATAATATTGAAAGGAGGACATAGGCAATTCTGGTTGGTGTCAGCCAATCGCAGCTCAGGAGTGCTATGAAGGGGAACCTACGGGAGGGAGATGTCTGTCTCTGACAGAGAGCAGACAGTGGAGAAATTAAAACCAGTTTTAGAAAATCTTGTTCCAAAATGGGAAAGAGTGAATGAGTAAATAGTGGAGATTGATATAGACAAAATAGTAACAACCCTTAGACAGTGTAGAAATATAAAAAATAAAAGGAGCTTGTGAATTAGAGAATTATAGTATGGAATGGAAGAAACTGGAGTTGATAACAAGTTTGGAGTTGATAACAACTCCTTCTCCACCATCAGTGTGAAAGATCACCATGGGACCAAGGAATAAATAGTGAATTATGAAATGAGTAACAATGATCTGAACAAAATGGCACTTTTCTAAAACTGATCTATAATGCAGCAGCGCACTAGCAGTGATGGAGAAGCAATATTTTAAAAGCAAAATTAGGTGGGTTGTTGTAGGCTATATGACCATATTCTAGAAGCATTCTCTCCTGACATTTCTCCTGCATCTATGGCAGGCATCCTCAGAGATTGTGAGGTCTGAGGTTTAAGGGAGATACTTTACTGTTCTAAAGCAGCATAATGCAAAATTGGTCCTGCAAATGCATTTCCTATTTTTTCCGTCCCTGAAATTCCTTGAACTGCCCTTTTCTACAAAATGGAAGGATACACTGCCTTTCCCACAAGCTTCCAGGCATGGTGATTCATCCTTTTAAATAGGTTTCCAGTTCCTGTTTGCATTTCATAAACAAGCCCTCATACCAGAAGTTCTAGCTATTGCCGATTAATTATCTTCTCTGTGGTTATTCAGAGAGTCCCAGGATCAAAACGTTGGCCTCCAGACCCACTCAGGTTGCTTTAGTGCTATAATTATATAGTGCTGTAGAAATTTAGCTACAGAGTGCTATCTCAGCATTTCGTTATACATTGTATTATTAGTACAGGTTGGGTATCCATTATCCAAAATGCTTGAGACCAGAAGTTTTTTGGATTTGCATATATTTACATAATACAGTCTCACAAAATTCCTTTATATGTCATATAAAAGCCTTGTACACATATTTATTTATTTATTTATTTATTCTATGTCTATACCACTTTCACTCACCCCGAGGGGGACTTATAACCTTACAGAGAGCGGTCATCCCTCCTGTTCAAGGAGTTCTACTGGCTGCCATTCATCTACCGGACCCAATTCAAGGTTCAGGTTCTTACCTATAAAGCCCTGAATAGTTTGGGACCCGCCTACCTACGTGATCACATCTCCGTATACGAACCCACACGATCTCTTCGATCTTCTGGAGAGGCCCTGCTCTCGATCCCACCAGCATCGCAGGCGCGTTTGGTGGGGACGAGGGAGAGGGCCTTTTCGGTGGCGGCTCCTCGACTCTGGAACTCACTCCCTAAAGACATCAGACAGGCCCCAACCCTGGCAGTCTTCAGGAGGAGCTTGAAGACGTGGCTGTTCCAGTGTGCCTTCCCGGAAAAATGAATCCCATAGCACTTTGTCCTCCAAAGCACTTTACATTTCTTTAAGTCTGCTAGTATGCCCTCCACAAACACTAGTATCACCTTTCGTTCATGGCCCAGCATTATTTCCAATTTTAACTCTACATTTGGCCTTCCCACTGTTTTAATTATTTATTTATTTTATTATTTATTTACTTTGCTTATATACCGCTGTATCTCAAGCCCGAAGGCGACTCACAGCGGTTCACAAACAGTAAAAACAGTAGAAACAGCAGTGGTTCCATACAACATATAACAATTGACTTAACACATTATCCATAAATTACCAATAAGCAATTACAATGCACAATTATTACAAAAAACAACCGTACCCAATCTTCTCATCATCCAAGCGTAGTCCAGGTTCGTCGTCCATTGTTCCATCCTATGTTCCATTACCAGATTGCACTAAATTACTCAAACGCCTGCACAAACATCCAGGTCTTCACCTTTTTGCGGAATACCATTAGAGATGGTGCTAGTCTAATGTCCGTAGGAAGGGCGTTCCACAGCCGAGGAGCCACCACCGAGAAGGCCCTATCTCTCGTCCCCGCCAGCCGAGCTTGAGAAGCAGGCGGGATCGAGAGCAGGGTCTCCCCGGAAGATCTCAAGGTCCTGGTGGGTTCATAGGCAGAGATGCGGTCAGATAGGTAGCTTGGGCCGGAACCGTTTAGGGCTTTAAAGGCCAACGCCAGCACTTTGAATTCAGCCCGGTAGCAGATCGGTAGCCAGTGGAGTTGGCGCAACAGGGGGGTTGTATGCTCCCTGCGCTCCGCTCCTGTTAAAATCATGGCCGCCGATAATTATGTGTTGCTTTTTTGATAATGTTGTGTATTTTATTGTCTATGTTTTTAATTGCTTGTATTGATGTTTTATTGCTTTTGTTGTTGTGTTTGGGCTCGGCCTCATGTAAGCCGCACCGAGTCCCTTGGGGAGATGGTAGTGGGGTACAAATAAAGTTAATAAATAATAATAAATAAATAAAGATAATTTTTAAAATAATATTTTAATTAATATGTTTTATTTTCAATTTACAGATTCATAAAAAACAGTGAAGCAAATCTATATACATGTACATATACTTGCATGAACCAATACAATACATCCTAACATTTATACAATATTCGTATTTGGTTATACCAGGCATGGGCAAACTAAGACCTGGGAGCCAATGTGGTCCCCTCAGCACTTACCTCTGGCCCTCCTCATTTTACTTGTCCTCTTGGCATAAGGACAGTGGTCTGCTGCATCCTTATGCCAAAAGGATGAGGCAGGAAGGCACGCAGCAGCTGAGAGCCCTCTGGAGCACTCTCAAATGCTGGTGTCTCGCCCTCCTCCTGGCATAAGGACAGTGAAAGTGGCCCCATCCTTATGCCAGCAGGACGGTTTAAGAAAGGCATGCAGCGGCTGACAGCCCTCTGGAACACTCTCAGCCACCACCTGTCCTGCCCTCCTCCTGGCCTAATGCCAAGAGGACAGCCCGAGAATTGGGAGAGGAGGATTGGGAGAAGGGGTACAGGTATATAGGTATAGGTATATATAGGTATATAAATCCCTAAACGACTCCGGTCCAGTTAACTGTCCGAACGGATTTTCCCCTATGAACCATCAAGGTTGTTAAGATCTTCTGGAGGGGCTCTGCTCGCGGTCCCACCACCCTAGAAATCGCATCTGGAGGAGACGAGGGACAGGGCCTTCTCGGTGGTGGCCCCTCGGCTCTGGAACTCTCTCCCATTGGAGATTAGAACTGCCCCTTCCCTCCTGACCTTTAGAAAGTTGGTGAAAACCTGGCTCTGGAATCTGGCATTTGATGAGTGAGTCAATAACCCTTGACCACACGGATGGATGGTGATGAATTGTGATTTTATTCTTTTTTTTTTTTTTAAATAATTTTTATTATAGTTTCTACAAATCCACACAAGGAAAGAAGGGGAACAATAACAAGATGATAGAACAGTAAGAAAGAAAAAGAAAGAAATACAAACCAAAAGAAAAAAAAAACATCCAAAACATAACACACATCTAAATACAATCAATACAGCTAACTAAACTATTCTAAAATGACTTCCACTCCATCCTCAGGATCTTCTCTATAAATTTCTTCTCCTTAAAATCTATTCTTATCTCTTTATTTTTTAACTTTCTTCTCATAATCATATATAGAGGACCAATCTGTCCTCTTTAAAGTTTTTCCATTGTTCCTTTTCAACAAAAAGGTCAATTCGTCCATATCTCTTATCTCCTTAATTTTTATCCACCAATCTTCAATACTTGGAATTATAGCAGTCTTCCAGCATTTAGCATATATCATCCTAGCTGCCGTTGTACAATAAGTAAATAATTTATCTTCATTCTCTTCCATTTTCAACTCAGAGTCTGATAGTCCAAGAAGGTAATACTCAGGTTTCTTCTTAAATCTTTTCTTAAAAATTTTTTGCATCTCTTCATGTATATTCGACCAGAACTTAGTTGTCTCTTTACATGTCCACCACATGTGGTAAAATGTACCTACTTGCTCACTACATTTCCAGCATTTATCTGATATATTTTGATACATATGACTTAACTTATTCGGGGTCAAATACCACCTATAAAACATTTTATACCAATTTTCTTTCAAATCCATAGCATATGTATATTTTAATTTTTTATTCCATATCGTTTCCCATTCCCCGAAGTGGATGGGTCTTCTTATGTTTTCAGCCCATTTAGTCATACAATTTTTTACCTGTTCGGTTTCCGTCAGCCACTGAAGTAATTTATTATATATTATTGTAACAGTTTTCTTTTGCGTTTTTAATATTTTGTCCCATACATTCTCCTTCCAATCAAAACCGGTTTTTTGGTCCTGTTTAAAATATTCCTTTATTTGAAGGTAATTTAACCAAGTTATATTGCCATATAGACTCTTTAATTGTTCAAATGATTTAATCTCCATCTTCCCTTTCACTAATATGTCCTTATATCTTGGCCAATTCCTCCATCCTAGTAGTCTTCTTTGGTATGCCTCCATTGTTGAAATCCATAACGGTGTTGTCTTATAAAAAAATTCTTTATATCTCAACCATGTTCGTAATAGGGAGGCACGCACAAAATGGTTTCCAAAATTTTTCTCCTTTATTTCTCTATTATACCAGATATATGCATGCCATCCCACTCTTAAATCATGTCCTTCTAAATTTAGGCATTTTTCTTTATCTAAGGTCATCCAATCCCTAATCCAGGATAGGGCACAGGCCTCATGATAAGTCTTTAAATCGGGGAATCCCAATCCCCCTCTCGTTTTCTTGTCTATTAAATTTATATAATTTATTCTTGGTCTTTTTCCCTTCCATACAAATTTCAATAAATCTTTCTTCCACTTTTTAAAGAGAGTTTGATTTCTTATCACCGGTATATTTTGGAACAAAAATATCAATTTCGGTAAGACATTCATTTTTATCATAGCTATTCTACCCAGAAGAGATAATTTCAGCCGGTCCCAATTCTGAAGGTCCTTTTGTACTGTCTTCCATACTGCTTCATAGTTGCTCTTCAAGAGTTGTCCATTTCTAGCTGTAATCCATACTCCTAAATATTTAATTTTCTTCACACCTTCTATTCCGACCTGTTGTTGAATCTTCATTTGTTTGTGATTTTATTCTGACGCGACTTGGCCTTATGTAATTATATGATTGTATTTTAATGTGTTTTATATTAGTGTTTTATAGGATGTGATTTTTTAACTATTGTGTATGAATTCCTCTGTTGTAAACCGGCCTGAGTCCCTCGTCGGAGGTGAGAAGACTGGTATATAAAAGTTCTAAATAAATAATAAGGATCAGGGGCAGTTGTCATGTGTCTTGCCTTTCTCCCAGCATAAGGATGAAGTGAGCAGTCTCATCCTTATGCCTGGAGAACAACTTGAGAATGACCCAGGCCTTGCCCAGCCCTTTCCTGGCCCTCCCCCTCCCAGGCCCACCTACCCAGCATGTGCCCGGCCTCCCTCCCTCCTGGCATGGCCCTCCTGGAAGTGCCAGCAATGCAGCCCCAAGGAAAAAAAGTTTTCCCATGTCTGGGCTATACCCTCCTCTCCTCCCATGCCTTCAATTTTGGTGACTTCCCATCCCTTTTTAAATTTTTTTTTTTAAAAAATAGTCTTTATTCAGGGTTTTCTTTTTAAGACAAATAGTTATACAATTAAACATTAGAGAAAGAACAATCCTGGGGTTAGGGAGGAAGGGAAGAGGGGGCGGGCGGGGGGGGGGGAGGGTTCGGTGGGTGGGGATGGGGGGGGTTAGTGTTCAGTGGGACCGGGCTATGGGAACAACTACATACATAATCACAAAGTCACATAATCACAGAAAAACATCAATCAACGTGTAACAGTCAACGAGTGAACTTCCTCAAAGGTTCATCAGGGTTATACCAGTAACCTAAAATTAAATGTCTCTATGTCGTCTAAGCAACTTCCCTAGTCTCCTAAAATTATGCTTTTTCTCTCTCTTAGATAGCGCCTAAATGGCTGCCAGTCGATCCTGCGTCTCTTGCTGGTATCATATGTCATGGTCGCTAAGGTGTCCATTTCCATTAGATCACTGATTTTTAATAGCCAGTTGTCAATTTTTGGTATCTCCTTGGTCTTCCACTTGCTGGCGAGCACTATTCTGGCGGCTGCGGAGAAATGAAACAACAACATGTCTTTGTTAAGATCTAACTGAAAGTCTAATAAGTGTAACAAAAAATACTCCGCTTTTAACTCCATTTTTATCTGCAGGATCCTCTGGACTTCCCTGTGTACCTCCCGCCAGTAGCCCCTAACTCTTTTACACTGCCACCATGCGTGATAGTGGGAGCCCAGTTGATCGCCGCACTTCCAGCAGTCGCTGTTCGTTCCTCTATAAAATTTTGCCATCTTCTGGGGTGTTAGATACCACCGGTGAAAGACTTTTTGCCAGTTTTCTAGTATGTTGGCGGATTTTGCAAATTTTAGTTTTTCCTTCCATATAGCCTCCCACTCGCTAAGGAGGATGGAGTGTCCCAGATCAGCTGCCCAGCTGGTCATGTTCTCCTTTACCACTTCCAGTTCGGTTTCCCACTCCAGCAGCTTCCCATACAGTGCTCTGACCACTTTTTTATCCTTTCCCATTATCGTGTCCCACAGTGATTCTTGTGAGGAGAAGTCTTTTTTTCTGTCTTCTTTAAAGCAGTCGGTTATTTGCATGTATTGGAACCAGGAGAGCTTCTCATCGATTTCTCTTAATGAGTCTAAGGACTTCAGTTTCCATTGCCCTTCTCTTCTTTCCAATAGTATTTTGTAAGTGAGCCATCTTTCATTTGGTGACTTCCCATCCCTTGGGTTGGAGACATTCATATATAATTCCGTTCTTCCTTCCTATTAAATTGTTTTCCTATTCCTCCTCCTGGCCTGATTTATAATTTCTTCTTTCTTTTTTTTTTTTTACTAAGTTTCAAAGTGGTTCCCAGTTCTAGATAAAGTGTTTTAAACAATATTTTAAATAATTTTATGCATGTTTTCAGAAAGCAAAGATGTCGCTATCTCAGCCACGTATGTGGAATTGGGAGGACAATAACTTTATAAACGTGCATCTTGATATCCCTTTTCGTATCCTTCTGCAAAGAGGTTTATAGTGACTTGTAGGTCTTCTTCTCAATAAGCACATACATTATCATCAATATATTTGAGTTCTATAACAGACGTTGTGACCTTGGTTTTGGTTTTCAGCCTGCTGAGGTTAAATAGTTTGCAGACTGTCCAATAGGTGATTTCAACACCAGTGGGAATCTTCCCATCAACAAGGTGCAGAATCACAGCTATGAGGATGGAAAATAAGGCTGGGGCAATAACACATCCCTGTTTGACTATTAACTCCTTAAATGGGTCACTTTGTGAAACATTACTGTCTAAAACTGTTGCTGTCATGTCATCATAGAGAGCTGCAGGATGTTTACAAATTTATCAGGGCATCCGATTTTTAAGATTATTAAGATCGTCTGGAGAGGCCCTGCTCTCGGTCCCACCGGTCTCGCAAGCGCGTCTGGTGGGGATGAGGGACAGGGCCTTCTCGGTGGTGGCCCCTCGACTCTGGAACTCTCTCCCACTAGAGATCAGAACCGCCCCTTCTATCCTGACATTTAGGAAACAGGTGAAGACTTGGTTATGGAGACAGGCATTCGACGAGTGAGCCAACACCCTGAGATATGGATGGAGGATGATGAGCAACTATTTTAGTGTGGCGACTGACCATTATAGTTATTGATTGTAATTGCTGTTTTAATGTTTTACTGTAATATTTATTATGATGTTTTATTGATTGTATGTGATATTATGGTTGGAAACCGGTCTGAGTCCCTCAAGAGAGGTGAGAAGGTCGGTATACAAAACTTTTAAATAAATAATAAATAAATAAATTTAAGAGAATTCTAATTAGAGTCATGTGCTTTTCTTTGTACAACAGGTTCGGATCTCCCTTACAATGGTCAAGTGATAGGAGGTGGTGTCAACAGGAATTCAGCAATTATTGGAGGTAAGAAATGTTCATGTGTTATTTATTTATTTATTTATTTATTTATTTAACTTGTATACCGCTACTCCCAATTTGGCTCGGAGCGGTTTACAGAAGCAGATTAAAACAATACAATTAGCTTTTAAAATAACAATAACAAACAATAGGCAGCGAGGACAGTCCAAAGCTTTCCGGAAAAGTTTTACAGGCTTTCCGAAAAGTAAGTAGTAGGCTTGGGCGGTTTCATTCGTTAATTTCGTAATTCGTTATTAATTCGTATTTAAATTAGCTTACGATCCAATATTGAGCCATGCAGGACTACTGTGAGGAGTAATTAAAAATCGAAACAATTTTTCCAATTTATTTCGTATTGTTTCGTAATTGTTTCGTAATTGTTTCATTGTTTCGAAATTGTTTCGAAATTGTTTCGTTATTATTTCCGTATGTCTGGTGCAAGTTTTATAGTTGTTGTTTGTTTTATCAGTGATAAAAAAATAAATTATCACACCAACAGTCAACAACAGAGGGAGAGGGAAGCTTCAGAAGTTCCCCCTGTCCCATTTGGAGGGTTTTTTAGCATATTGCGCAATCGCATCCGCCATTAACGAATCGATTCATAATTTTACGAAATTTCGTATATTTCGAACTTTTTTAAAGTAAAATTTCGGAATTCTTTAAAAAAACGAAATGCAAGGGCCCCCCTAAAAACGAAACGAGTTTAGAACCAAATTTTTCCGTAGTTACCCAAGCCTAGTAAGTAGATCTCGGATTGTTCGAATTCTAAGGCTTGATGTAGATTTGTCTAATAAGAAAACAGTGTGTTCTGTTACCTGTTTTTTAATACAAACCCTTTTTTTCTTAATGTTCAGATTATTTTTTAAAAAAAGTGTGATCCCTATACATCCAATAATTTCTTCTTTATATTCAGATATCATTTAAAAAATCAAAAAATCTCCCTCTTGATCTTCCCACCCTTTCCTCATCCTTCATGGTTAGTGGGGCAAGGCCAAAGGGTGCACGGGATAGTCTGAGCCAAAGGTTGAGTATGGCCACCCACACCCTGGCCTCCACTCTCATAAAGCCCGTCTCTAGTCGCAGGGTGGCATTAGAAACGCATTTAGGTACCTGCAAGGCCGATCTCAGAAACTTTGACTGAACCAGCTCTAATGGGGCAAAACTGGGGAAGGGGCCCAGCTGAGCACCATACAAGAGTTGGGCTAATGACTTAGCTTCAAACAGCTTGAGCGCTGCCGGTGTGAAGTGGCCCCCTCTTGTCTTAAGATATTTAAGAATGGCAATTGAGCTCCCCTACGCGGTGTTGGATACTTGATCCCCATGAGCTCTTCTGCTACCATTAGATTGGAAAACCACACCTAGATATTTGAAGGATGTAACTTGTTCAATTTTATGACCATCTATGCTCCAAGAGTAAGTCCTGGGCCTAGACCAGTGTTTCTCAACCTGGGGGTCGGGACCCCTGAGGCGGTCGCGAAGGGGTGTCAGAGGGGTCGCCAAAGATCATCAGGAAACACAGTATTTTCTGATGGTCATGGGGATTCCATATAGGAAGTTTGAGCCAATTTTATCGTTGGTGGAGTTCAGAATGTTCTTTGATTGTAATGAATTATAAATCCCAGCAACTACAACTCACAAAAATCAAAGTCTATTTTCCCCAGGTTCCACCAGTGTTCATTTGCACATATTGAGTATTTGTGCCAAGTTTTGTCCAGATCCACCATTGCGTGAGTCCACAGTGCTCTCTGGATACAGGTGAACTACAACTCCCAAACTCAAGGTCAATACCCACCAAACCCTTCCAGTGTTTTCCGTTGGTCATGGGAGTTCTGTGTGGCAAATTAGGTTCAAATCCATCGCTGGTGGAGTTCAGAATGCTCTTTGATTATAGGTGAACTATCCATCCCAGCAAATACAACTCCCAAATTACAAAATCAATCCTCCCCCAACCCCACTAGCATTTACATGTACGTGCATTGGGTATTTGTGCCCAGTTTGGTCCAGTGAATGAAAATACATCTTGCATATCTGATATTTAAATTATGATTTATAACAGTAGTAAAATGGCTGTTATGAAGTAGCAACAAAAACAATGTTATGGTTGGGGGGTCACCACAACATGAGGGACTGTATTCAGGGGTCACAGCATTAGGAAGGTGGAGAACCACTGGCCTAGACCATTCCAGTAATTAAACGTAGATTTTTGTTATATTCTTTGTGCCGTCGCGCCTGGGGGCTATTATTCTCAATAAAGGAGGAATGGACGTGGCATCTTTCCCCCAGGGGATTGCTTCTTGCCCTCCTATAGGAAACTGGAACTTTCAAGAACGTAAAACGCTGCAAATAACTCAAAATAAGTTTTATTTATCACAAAGTCATTTCGTTAAAGCAATGAGCTGGAAAACTTCAGAGGGGTGAAGGAAAATATACGTTACAGTTTTAATTAGTCCTGGGTCCAAGGGGTTTGAAGCTGAGAAGCCTCACCAAGTTTCCTCTTTCCTCAATGGCTGTGAATGCCGGAGCAAATCACAACCCTAGTTCAGATGGCCTATGTTTTGAAGACTCAGGATCTTCCTTTGGTGCCAAAAGAACTGGTTTGAAGGCGCTTGGGTCTCCTCAATGTTGTCCAGGACGATCTGGACATAAAGCATGAGTCCCAAGGGTAAAAAACCTCAGAGTTGATGCTAAGAGCCGCTGCAAACTAGGCTCCTGCGGGAGCAAACCTTGCCAGCACGTCCCTGATGTCATGAGGCTGCGCAGAATTGCAGAATTGGCAGAATTCAACTGAGAGAGTATGCTAGCAATGCTGCCCTAGCAAAGGAAAAACCACTCTGGCACGGAGAAAGAGGCTGAGAAAGGGGCGGGTCTCATGACGTCAGGGACGTGCTGGCAAGGTTTGCTCCCGCAGGAGCCTAGTTTGCGACGGGTCTAAGAGGTAACTTAAATCAGGGTCTTTTAGAGTCAAGTCTCTTACTCACGTCCATATGGTAGGAACTCTGATGGCAGAATGAGAAAGAAAAGGAAGCTCTCCCCTTCTGCAGGAAGGGGTGGAGCCAAACAGTACTGATTGACAGCTATAAGTAACCCGCCGTGAGTCGCCCGAGTGGGCTGAGAATGGCGGTTAATAAATGCTCCAAATAAATAAAAATAAATAAATAAACCAATCCATACAACTATACATAAGCAGGGTAAAAGGGGCAGGATTAAGCATGATACAACAGTTTAAACCTTGCAACTAACAGTTTTACACATAGGTGGCGCCACTTGCGCCGTCACATTCTTTTTTTCTGTTTTCAAAATTTTATCCCAAAACTCTTCTTTATTATGAAAACCTAATTTCTTATCCTGGTTGTAATGTTCTTTAATTTGTTTATTTAAAAATCTATCTCTGTTTTTGCTCCACTCTCTTCCAGGAGTGATTGCTGTTGTGATCTTCACCATCCTCTGCACTTTGGTTTTTCTCATTCGCTACATGTTCCGCCACAAGGGAACCTACCATACCAATGAAGCCAAAGGAGCAGATTCTGCTGAAAGTGCGGATGCAGCCATCATGAACAATGACCCTAATTTTACAGAAACCATCGATGAAAGCAAAAAAGAGTGGCTTATCTAAAATGGGGTGGGCTAAGCTAGTTTGGAAGTCGAGGTGGGGTGGGACTGGGAAGACTTTTTTTCAGCAAGAAGAAGAGAGCTCTCTTATGGACTTTTGAGCACATCTAGTTTTAAAACTAGGAGATCAGCACAACTTGGAGGAGCAAATGAGAAACAGTGAGACTGGAAACATAAGAGCATTTCAGAAAAGTACTTTTTAATATTGGTTTATGGTGAATTGCCCTATCTTGTAGCCATCGAAATCAAGAGCTTATTTTAAGAGGTTCGACATTGATTCGCACTTTTCAATATTCACTTGTCTTCTTTGTCTGTGGCTGGAGATGTTTCAAGATACCTGCTATAAAAGGGGCTAATTTTCTATATATTTTTAGAAGCCTCTTGAAATGTAAATATGTCTCCCCCCAAGAACCGCAGATCAGTCTCTAAAGCCCGGGACCATTCTTCTCTAGCTTTCTTACATAGGTCACTTCATAGAAAGGAAGCAGTAACAACTGGATTGTGCTTCCTTAATGTGTCACGAATCGCCATCTTAATGCATGGTTTAAAGGGTTCAAATTTATGCTTAACTGTTTGCAAAACAGACTTCAAATGGCATAACGGTTATTCGGTCATCCCAGTAAATTGTGCCAACAGTCATTCTGTGAGGGAGGCCCTCTGATGTCTCGTTTTAGTAATGTGAGTTTAGCTGTATTATGACCGAATCATCTCGGGTTTTGGAGGCAACCTGGGAAGAACCTAATATCAGCTTCACTCCACTTCGCCAAAGGTTTGAGGCTGACATTGTAAGGTGTGCGATTTGGGATTTTCCAACGCCACTGAATCATGAAGGAAAGAACCAAGATGCCAAAATGGCCACACCATTAAAATATTGGGAAAGCCCTAACAAACAATTCTCTTCCAAGTACAGTTCCCAGGAATCCATAGCTGTTACTTAGCTTACATCTGATGTAACATAGATCTGTCCTAGAGAACAAAAAACCTGGATTGTAGGAGAGAAAAACGACATTCATCTGTTTTCAAAAACTAATCAACCTGTGCCGGCATTTTGAAATGTGTATCAGATGTGGGCACAAGATAATGATTGTGTATAATATATACGTATAAATAATGTAAAAAAAAATCTTATAATTTCTGTCATTGTCAGAGATAGGTATATTAAAACATAAGAAGCCTTATCTCTTTTCTTGCGCCAATCAGATCATTTCATGTAGCTCTGTTACTACTCCGCTGATCATATCATGGTACGCAGTTCTACGTGTGACATATTGGCATATGCTGTATGTATGTAGACATATAATAGGGAATTAGAATCAGATTTTACAAAACCTGTTTGCTTCTGTTTCTTATATATAGGCTGCTGCAGAAATATTATTACAGTTTTTAGCAAACATATTTGATCCAGGAGATTTTGTGTAATACATGGCATATACGATAACATTTTTTTTTCCTTTTAATATCGCGCTGAAATCTTTCTGTGAAGCCATTTCCTTTTAAGTTGAAAGGCAGAAACAAAAGAATTGGATAATTTTATGTGTAAAGGAAGCTGCAGAACTCTAGTTCTTTAACGCCCATTTTTATCATGATCTCTGCCCTGTTGAAGCAATTGGAGGGCAGGTAAGGCAATAACAAGTCACATTAGGTTAATTTATATTTGCATATCATAAGTGGAGAGATCTGGGACCAATTCACACATCTTGCATTTATCTATGTCCTTGTTTGTGTGAAAGGGCTGTCTTGGATCATATATGTCTTGAACTTTCTTACAATGTGAATGCAGTTCCAGCCAGTGGAGTTCTGCTCATCGAAGTATAACAGGAGTCACTGGTCTGCACTGCAAATCTGAAACTGCTTCAAACTGGGTGAAGCACCAGAATTTTTCCAAAGAATCCTGCAAAATTGTTCTGTGAGTGTGAATTCTTAGTTGTCCGTTCCTCGTCCTTCCACTCGGTTGAAGCTTTTTGTGTTACGTCACCACGCTCTGTAGCAGTTAAACATACATGAATCTGGTTAAAATGTAAATTGTGTAAAAGACACAAATCCCTTAACATCTTTTCGCTCCATCTTGGGAAGAGGCCCTCCCTTGCAGTAAAGACAACATCACATACAGTGATGGTCTTTGATGGCCCTTTTTTCTTTTTAATATTTCCCATTGCTGATTAAAATGAGTCTCTACTAACAAAGCCTTATGGAAAGTTGTACAGTGCAACTTGATGATAATATATCAGTCTTATGGTCTTTTGCTTATCGTGTTTTACAAGTTGAATTACTTCTTGTGAAAAGATTTTATGCCCATGATGGCTGTGGATCCATGTAACCCATCTGCTCACAATTTTGGTATGCACAGCTTTGAAATGTTTCTGTTATCAATTACATTTCAGAAAGGTTGACTGGGAATCCAAAATAACTATGGTTCGATGTACTAAAGACTACTATTCTCTCTTAGAAGCGTCCTCCCTTTTTTTTCTGGAATGTGTTGTTTGTGGTTTGTTTAAAACCTTTGCAAAGTGGAGAAAGAAAAAGGACTTCATTTCAGTGGTGTCCCAAGCATAAGGAATTAGGTGAAGTCCACCCCACTGAAGCTGCATGCAATAACATCCTGCAGAAACTTACTGGCAGCACATGGGGTGCAGACCCAGAATTAGTAAGAACAGCAGCCCTAGCTTGTCTTACTCAACTGCCGCGTATGCCTGCCCTGTTTAGCATAGGTCTGCCCATGCAAAGCAAGTGAACATAGCATTGAATGAAACATGCAGAATAATCACAGGATGTCTTAAACCTACACCTCTTGATAAACTCTACAAGCTAGCTGGCATTGCCCCCCTGATGTGCAACAGGAAGTTGCTGCTAAATGTGACAGAAATAAGGTTGAACACTGTGAAAGCCACCCACTACATGGCTACCAGCCTCCTCCCAGTAGACTCAAATCAATTATTATTATTATTATTATTATTATTATTATTAACTTTATTTATACCCCGCTAACATCTCCTGAAGGACTCGGTAAGGCTTACAAAAGGCCAAGGCCCTCAATAAAACAACAGCATAACAAATACAGCAATAAAACTCAAAAAGCAAAACAAAAAATTAAAGCCATAACAATAAACATTAAAACCAATAACACCACGACGCATTTAAAACTAAGCCCAGGCCAAATTTAATGAATAAAATTTAAAAGTGCTGGACATGACAGGTGAAAAGTATAGGTTTTTAGAGGTAGGTGCGGTGTGCAGACAATCTTAAATCTCTAGTAAAGTGCATTTGGGACATGATGCTAGGAGCTTCCTATTCTGGAAAGGCACACTGGAACAGCCACGTCTTCAAGCTCTTCCTGAAGACTGCCAACGTTGGGGCTTGTCTGATGTCCTTGGGGAGAGAGTTCCATAGTCGGGGGGCTACCACAGAGAAGGCCCTGTCCCTCGTCCCCACCAACTGCGCTTGCGAAGCAGGTGGGATCGTGAGCAGGACCTCTCCAGATGATCAGAGAGATCGTGTGGGTTCGTATACGGAGATGCGGTCATGCAGGTAAGCGGGTCCCAAGCCGTTTAGGGCTTTGTAGGTAAGCACCTGCACCTTGAATTGGGACCGGAAAATGAACGGCAGCCAATGGAGCTCTTTAAACAGGAGGGTTGACCTCTGTCTGTAAGGAGCACCAGTTAACAACCTGGCCGCCGCCCGTTGGACCAGTTGGAATTTCTGGGCCGTTTTCAAGGGCAGCCCCACGCAGAGCGCATTGCAGTAGTCCAATCTGGAGGTGACCAAGGCGTGGCCCACCCCGGCCAGATCAGCCTTCATGTGGTACGGTCGCAGTTGGCGCACGAGTCTCAATTGTGCAAAAGCCCTCCCGGCCACCTACGACGCCTGAGCCTCAAGCGTAAGTGATGAGTCCAAGGGGACACCCAAGCTGCGGACCTGTGACTTCAAGGGGAGTGTAACCCCGTCCAGCACAGGTTGCCACCCTATACCCCAATCTGGTTTACGATCGACCAGAAGGACCTTTGTCTTGTCGGGATTAATCTTCAGCTTGTTCATCCTCATCCAGACAGCCACAGCGGTCAGGCACTCGTCCAGCACCCGAGGGGCTTCCTTGGAGTTAGGTGGAAAAGAGCAGTAGAGTTGTGTGTCATCTGCATAGAGATGGCAACCAACTCCAAAACTCCGGATGACCTCTCCCAGCAGTTTCATGTAGATGTTAAAAAGCATGGATAGACAGAATAGAGCCTTGCGGTACCCCACAGGTCAAAGGCCAGGGGTCCGAGCAGGCGTCTCCCAGCTTCACCATCTGGGATTGACCCTCCAGGAAGGACCGGAGCCACGACAGAACCGTGCCCCCAAGGCCCATCCCAGAGAGTCGTCCCAGAAGGATACCATGATCGATGGTATCAAAAATGCTTTATGAGAACGACCACTCCTCTTGGCGTCCCCCCAGCAACAGCAAGGGTATCCCTCTGGGCAGCTAAACCAGGAAATCCCAACTGGATGGCCCCCCACGAGGGCCTTCCTCCAGGGGCAAACAAAGAATGGGCAACTTGAAAGTCCCTGAACAGACTCAGAAGTGGAGTGGGCAGATCAAAAGACACCTGGCAAAATGGCACTACCTAAAAGAATCCCATACCTTGTGTAACTGTGGAGCAGAACAGACAACTCCGCATCTGTATGCTTGTCCACTATGCTCTGCCTCATGTACAGAGGAAGAATTGTTGGAGGCTACAGACAATGCCATTGCTGTTGCCCGTTTTTGGTCAAAAGATATTTAGCCGCCTGCGCTCCTTCTATTTTTATCAGTTTTATACTAATTTATGCAATGCTTTTGATACGAAATAAATAATCCCACTGAAGCAATAAGAGGGTGCAGTTAAGTGCACCACTGGCTGAATGGCTTCACTATCCACCAACTGACAGCACATGCTCCACTCAATACCTTTGCAACAACAGATAGGATATGATGTCACACTGTTCCTGCAGTCTGCACACCCATAAAGCTAGAAAAGGAGAGGAGAGAGAGAGAGTTCACTTGATTGCTCAGGCATGGATACGTTCTTACTGTATGAGCAGCCCTAATTATGGAGTGCTAGGGTGAAGCTGCAACCTTAATAATAATAGTAATAATAGTAATAATAATAATAATAATAATAATAATAATAATAAACCTTTATTTATACCCCGCTACCATCTCCCGCAGGACTCAGTGCGGCTTACAAGAGGCCAAGCCCAAATACATCATAAAACATAACAACAACAAAACAACAATAAATAACTCATAAAAGCAAAACAATAAAATAATAACACGATGCATTTTAAAAACCTGTGGCAAGGCCAAATGTAAGAATTAAAAATTTAAAAATGCTGGACATGTCCAAGGGAAATAGGAGGGATGTTTTTGGGATAGGTGGCCGTGCAGACAGTTCTAAATCTCTCGTAAAGTGCATTTAGGACGTATTGCTTAGGATTCCTTATTCTGGGAAGGCACACTGGAACATCCACGTTTACAAGCTCCTTCTAAAGACTGCCAACGTTGGGGCCTGCCTGATGTCCTTGGGGAGGGAGTTCCAAAGTCGTGGGGCCACCACGGAAAAGGCCCTGTCCCTCGTCCTCACCAATCGCGCTTGCAACGCAGGTGGGATCATAAGCAGGGCCTCTCCAGATGATCGGAGAGATCGTGTGGGTTCGTATACAGAAATGCAGTCACGCAGGTAGACGGGTCCCAAACCGTTTAGGGCTTTGTAGGTAAGCACCTGCACCTTGAATTGGGACCGGAAAATGAACGGCAGCCAATGGAGCTCCTTAAACAGGAGGGTTGACCTCTCCCTGTAAGGAGTGCCAGTTAACAACCTTGCTGCCGCCCGTTGGACCAGTTGGAATTTCTGGGCTGTTTTCAAGGGCAGCCCCACGTAGAGCGCATTACAGTAGTCCAATCTGGAGGTGACCAAGGCATGGACCACCTTGGTCAGATCCACCTTCACGAGGTACTTGTCCTCTAGAAGATATCTAACAATCATCTGCGAGGCATGGCTGGCCATGTGAGACAAAATTGGATATAGAAGTTGACTACATAGCATTGAGAAGAATCTAAAGTATTTAATCACTGTAAGGCTTTTTATGTATTTGCATGTCATAAACAGCTCTCTTCCTTTGCCGTACATCTTCCACTCTGATCTCTGACTTCAACTCAGACTCTCTTGACAAGGGAAAGGTACCAAACAACTAGAGGCACTCAAAGTATCTTCTCTGCCTAGGCAGATATCAGCATGCAAGCATTGCCAGGCATTTAGAAAGCAGCTTCTCAAGGCCATGCTGTATGAAACAGTGTTTTTGGCATTGGAGCCTTCACTTTCAAAAGACCCTCTTCAGTTGACATCAGGGCCATCTAAACCTCCAGTCCTCCTGAAGGGCAAATGGGCCCATCTGCCTATCTGCTACCAGAATGACTAAAAAGGTGTTTAACATGTCAACGTTCTACATGTTAAATCTCTGTTAAAACAGTGGTCGTCCACTAATGTGACCATAGCAATCTTAACTCCATATCGTGCTCTAAAGCTGGTTTGAAATGGGTCAAGGAAGTGTGTGTCATACAAGACTACCCAAAATTGGAGGACAATTGCCCACACAATCACCTTTCCAAGAAAGTAAAGTTAGAGAATGGTCTGTAAATATTACGATCCAGGGAATTCAGAGAGCGCTTTTTCAGCAGTGGTCTAACTACTACTGTATATACTCGAATATAAGCCTAGTTTTTCAGCCCTTTTTTTAGGCTGAAAAAGTCCCCCTCGGCTTATACTCGAGTCAAGGTTATTTATTATTTTACTCTGTTTATTATTATTATTATTATTATTTATATTATTATTATTATTTCATTTATTATTTATTTTATTATTATTACATTTATCATTTTACTCTATTATTATACATTTATTATTTTACTGTATAATTGTTGTTATTGCTACATTCATTATTTTACTCTTTTTATTATTGTTGTTGTTATTACATTTATTATGTTACTCTATTATTATTGGAAGGATACGTAAGCACATTTACATTGAAGAAGGTAAATAATCATTTAATCAGAGTTGGGTCTTATCTTAAATTACCATATTTGTAAATATTCAAAAATATATAACCTACTGATTCCTCAATTAATGTAATTTAATTGGTATCTATTTTTATTTTGCAATTTACCAGTAGCTGCTGCATTTCCCACCCTCGGCTTATACTCGAGTCAATCCGTTTTCTCAGTTTTTTGTGGTAAAATTAGGTGCCTCGGCTTATATTCGGGTCGGCTTATACTCGAGTATATACGGTACTTCTTTTAAATAGGATGGAAAATTCCCTTTCCTGAGAAATGCATTAATAATATGTTGTGCTTGAGATCTAATTTTGTATCATCTCTGGATGATCAGACAAAAAGAACAGAGATCAGAAAATTAGAGATGGTCCTCCTTACTTACCCC